ATATTTGTAGTGACTGGGAAAGACTGAAGCAAAACCCCATATCTGATCTGTCAGTCTAGATCAGGAGTCCCCAAACTTGGCCACTTTAAGACTTGTGGACTTCAACTCCCAGAGTTCCTCAGCTAGCAAAACAACCTTTGGCCACAAGTCTTAAAGTTGCCAAGTTTGAAGGCCTCTGATCTAAGAGGAGAGATTGCAGAGGGAGGGATTACAAGAGAGGAAGTTATGTTGGCTGGGGAATTCTGGGAGTTGAAGTCCACCAGTCTTAAAGTGGCCAAGTTTGAAGACCTCTGATCTAAGTGTTGGGCAGAGACCTCAAGAGCCTGGGAAAAATCCAGCGCTCAGCATTCACCCAGACTGAACTTCAGGTAGTGGATGGGCTATGACTTCATGTTGCTGTTGCCTTTTCCTTTTATGAGGGGAGTAGGGGAGCCTCTGCTGAAAGCCATGTCAGCCAAGCCTGATGGAAGAGGCTGGATTGGAAATCCTGGGAAACTATAGCAGTCTAGAGACTGTTTGGATGAAAGAGAGTTTTGACGCCTTGCTTTATAAAAATCATTTCATCTGCAGTACTTTTGTCGTGTTTATGCTGCTGTTCTTTGTGTGCATTGGCATATTCCCGGCTGAAAAAACAGCCACTGAGAAAACTCCTTGGGAAAAAAAAACAAACCATTCTTTTATTCTGCAAATTCCTGTTTGGTTTTTTTTTTTTTTNCAGAGAAGGAGGTGGCTAGATGGAGTTACCGAAGTAGTCAGCCTGAGCTTAAATGGACTCCAGGGGATGGTAGAGGACAGGAAGGCCTGGAGGAACATTGTCCATGGGGTCACGATGGGTTGGACACGACTTTGCAATTAACAACAACATTGCAATTATAATAATTAATTTTAATGTTGGAGAACTCTGCCTAGAGAGCCCCATTAGAACTTGTAGGCCTCTAAACAGGGATCTCTCCGCTATTCCCACCCCAGTTCATGTGGTTCCTCACTCTGGGCCAGGTCCATAGTTCGATTATACTAGCTGAGCTTTTTTCTGTCTTGCCTGGGCAGGTGGCTTCGCTATCGTATTTCTGGTGAAGACCAGCAATGGGATGAAATGTGCCCTCAAACGAATGTACGTGAACAACGAATACGACTTGCAAGTTTGCAAACAGGAAATCCAGATTATGGTGAGTATGTGGAGCCCTTGTGATCTTTGCTGTATGGTATGTTTACACGGGATGATAAGCAGCAGTTATTGAGAGAAGTAGTGCAATGCTAGTTGATCTTTTAAACCTTGAAGGAGTGGCTTGTTTAAACTCTGCAGCTTTGAACCGGGGCATGGAGATCAGATGCAAGGCGAAGGGTCAAGGAACAACCAGCAGACAGGCTGGTCAAAGAGGGAAAAAACAACCAGGACTTTTCTTTGTTCAATTAGGAAATTAGTGGTCTTGCATGTAGGGCTGTTTATGGCACTGTGGCTCACAGTAAAGATGTGCCTTTTGTTCTTTTCCAGAGGGATCTTGTGGGGCACAAAAACATTGTCGGGTACATTGATTCCACCATAAACTCAGTCAGCAGTGGAGATGTGTGGGAAGTCCTAATCTTGATGGATTTTTGCCGAGGTATGTAAGCATTCACAGGAACCATATTTGCAAGCCATCTACTATTCCTTGAATTCTGCAAAGTTCTTTCTTAACCCTTTGGACTAAATTGACTTGGGACTTCTCGGCTTAAGCTGAAATCTAATCACTGCAGTTTTTACTGTTTTGGTGCAAATTAATCACTAAAATCTCCCATAAATTATCTTTCCTATTTTGTAGAAAATGGGAATGTGGTTTGCTTCTCTCCAAAGCAGAAAATTATCCCTTAAATGCCACATTTCCTTTAACTAGTTGGGTTATTGACTCCAGGCAAGTTGGAAAAATAGCAAAAAGGGAACATTAAAACATTAACATTTTACATTAATTGTATTTATAGAACATAGTCCATTTATTTATTGAGCTGTGGTGGTGCAGTTAGAGTACAGTATTGCTGGCTGATTCTGCCCACTGCCAGGAGTTAGATCCTGACCTATTTAAGAGTCAGCCTTCCATCTTTCTGAGGTTCGTAAAATGAGGACCCAGATCAGGGGTGAAATCAACTTACCTTTGCTACCGGTTTGCAAATGTGAACGCAGGACTTTCCGCGCATGCGCAGAGGGTCAAAATGGAACGAGCCTGCTACCGAGCGCAAGTAGAACAGCGAGTTATTTCTGACGATCTACTGTGCTGGGCGACTTAGATTAGCTAGAAAGCAGGAAATCCGTGGATTTTATCTAATATAAATCGCAGGTCACAGTTGATCATCAGAAATACCAGTTTGTCCGAACCGGTATCATTTATTTTATTATTGGTTCGGGNGGTTAGAAAATTTTACTACTAACAGAGATACAAAAGTGGGCGGTAGGTATAAAAAGGTTGACCACCCTTGGATTAAGGTGACTGTCTTACAATAATTTCAGCAACTAAACCCTTTCCCACTTAAAACCAACTCCTAAAGTATTAGGCTTTGGTGACTTAATTCTTACAGGTTTTTTTTTTTCTGTGAACAAGTAAGGGGGAGGTTTTTAAATATGGCCTCAGCTTCTCCATGGAGTGGAGGGCAAACGGCAAGGAAGCCCAGTGCAAGAAGAACTGGGTTTTTTCCCCCAAGGTTGCTCCTTCTCTGTCTCATTTTCCAGGAGAAGTAAGGAGATTAATTATAAGCGACTAATTAAGCTGGGTTTGGATGAGCTGTTAGATGAGCCTGCAAGTGTCAATGTGCAAAAGTGTCGGTTTAATTCTTCCAGCTTGTGAATTGACCCATAAAGCTCATGCCATAATTCTGCTAAGATGCCTGTGGACTAAAGCTGAAAGGGTGGCTTGTAAATTACTACTCGCCTGACCTGCCAAACCAAGCTTAATGCTTACAGAGTTCAAGATCACACCCAGTGAGCCATATGACTTAGTGAGCAACTACTAGTTGTATTTTAAATTGTCACTTTGTTGTTTGTATGTATGTATTATGGATGGGAGACAAATTCCTTGTATGTCTAACCACACTTGGCCAATAAAGAATTCATTTTCTGAAGAAGCTTCTTGAGTGAGAAGCAAAATGTACTCAAAGAAAAAAACTCTCAACAAACTCCAGTTGCCTTCTGGGGAAAAAAGCTTCTTTTTGAGAATCAAAACAAGGCAAACTTCTTTAAGGAAAAGAGGCTTTTCCACTTTCCTTGATCTTTTCTTTCTAATCTTTGCAATCTTATTTTTTGTGCATTTTCCACATTTAGAGAGCTGCCTTGGGCTTGTTTCTCTGGGTTTCATTTTCTGAATGGAAACCAAGTTCCAGGGTTCGTTGTTTGTCTTTGGCTTCCAAGAGTCTACATGCAAAGAATGGAAGACTTATTCCTCTTCTCTTGCATGGAGATTAAATGATGATTGCTCAGTTTCACTTGGAAGGCTCTAGCATCACAGTCCTTTGCATCTGGGATGAAGGAATGGATGGATGGATGTTCTCCTTGTTATTGTTACTGGACACAGTGCTTTACAGGGTTACTTACATCCCCCCAACACAGCTAGGTGACTGATGACCTCTTTCCTATAGGGAAAGAGGCAAAGCTGACTGAGGAATTCTGGAAGTTGAAGTCCACCAGTCTTAAAGTGGCCAATGTTGCTTTGCTGGCTGAGGAATTCTGGGANACAAGAAGCAATGGGTGGAAACTAATCAAGGGGAGAAGCAACCTAGAACTAAGGAATTTCCTGACAGTTAGAACAATTAATCAGTGACAGAACTTGCCTCCAGGAGTTGTGAATGCCCCAACACTGGAAGTTTTTAAGACAATGTTGGATATCTATTTGTCTGAAATGGTCTAAGGTTTCCTGTCTAGCCAGGGGGTTGGACTAGAAGACCTCCAAGGTCCCTTCCAACTCTGTTATTCTATTCTAGTCTAAAATCATGCCACAGTTTCTCTTGGGTGTTTCATGGCTGTGTTGATCCACCCACATCCCTATGAATCCCAAATCCCCAGTTGTGTAAGCTTTGACTATGAGTACCAACTATAATTCCCCAAAGGTTTAAGATTTTAAGTAACCCTTCATCAGGAAAAAAAAGAGCTGAGGATTAAGCAGCAATATATAGAAACTAAGGGCCAATGGTGACATCAGACATTCAAATATTTCTACCTTTTGAGGAACTTTGAAAAAAACAACTACAGCAAATTGAGAATATTTGAATGCTTTGAGAATTAGGTAAGAAACCAATCAAGGAGAGATCTAATTAAGGAGAAATTTCCTGACAGTGAGAACAATTCATCATTGGAACGGCTTCCTTTCAGAAGTTGTATCTGCGCCAACATTGGAGATTTTAAAAAAGAGATTGGATTGTCATTTGTCTGAAATGGTGTAGGGTCTCCTGCTTAAGCAGAGCATTGGACTAGAAACCTCCAATTCTGTTATGTTCCATTATTTCAGGCTAGGAACTGCCAAGTTATCTGCTGGAACATTTGAAAGATTACTTGATGGCCACCTAGCAGAAGTTTACAACAAATAATTATTCCCACTCTGAGTAAGAGATCCTGAGAATGATCCTTTGTGTGGTTGCTCTTTATTGCTGGTGGAATTTCCAGCATGCACATAAAAGCTATATGAAATGGGAATAAAGATATTGACAGATTCTTAGAATTTTAATAATTGTGCTTATGTTGTTATGTTATAACTTTCAGGTTCAAATAATCCCAAACAGTCTGCTTTTTATTTTGGCACCAGTAATTGGCGTTTTATCTGAAGACTAGGAGGGAATAGTTACTATTTCTAGGAATCTAACTATTATGGGTTGTTTTGACTATTCAAAATGCAGGAATCCTATTTTCTGGCAGGAGAAAATGTCTCCTTGGAATTGTTTACTTTTGAACCTTACTTTACTTTATTGCCATTGTACTTATATACACAGTATACACATACTTTTGAACCTGCTCAGCTATTTCAAATAATAATTCTAAAGGTTGTTGAAGGAACAGAAAATCCTGATTGTCTTTGTGGGAGGGATAACGCCATGAGGTTGCCCATAGAGTTGGAGCTTACTCTTTGATTGCAAATACACGAATTTGGGCTTTGTTGTAGGTATACCACACTCTCGTACAGAGCTCCAGAGATGGTGAACCTCTACAGCGGCAAACTGATCACCACAAAAGCGGATATCTGGGTATGTGAGCTTGGGATAGTGGGCCAAGGGAGTCCAGGAGTTGCATTGGACCTTCCAAATTCCTTTTTTTTTCTGGTGTAGATAAGCACATGTCATTTTGGAATCACAAAAACAGACAAGGCCGTTATGGCCAGGCTGTATATAACGATATAATGAGGCATATTTACTGGTGTGCTTAAATTTTAAGTGTTTTATGGAGAGAGTTGGTGTTAATATTTTATAGTGTGTCATTCATGACTGCAGTCTGTCTTTGTATTGTTCATCTCTGATAATGTGAAGCTGGAAATAAACAGAAGGAGAGAGGAATGGCTCTAGGAGGGAACAAGGCATGGGAAGCGACCTCACACGCCTTATGCCATCATTATGCAAATGAGGCATATTATGCATACTGATTGACATACATATTACATACTTCACATTCTAGTTTTGATGATACCATGACACACATATCAAGCTTTGGGGCAATTAACTCAAACCAGAAGTAAATCCTTTTCCCAAGTTTGAATCTCACGGTCTTCTTTAGCAAGATTGATTAAGGCAGTGGTAGTCAACCTGGTCCCTACCGCCCACTAGT